TGTGAATTTTCATTAGATTGTCTTAACAGTTTCCATAAAAACTTTTGATTCAAAAAAAACTTTAATAAAAAAAGACCTTTTAAATTATTTATATTTTCACAAAACTCATATTATCTATCAAGTTTTCTAAGTTTATTTAATTTTCTTTAATATTTCTACATTTGCTCCACATGTTTTTATATACATAATTTGTAATGATTTCATTAAGTCATACTATCTAATGATCTATGTCAAAAACTGAACCATGACTGGTTCGAATAACTTGAAAATGATTGATTTGTCGCCTATCTGAATTTTTAAAAAAATTTTATGATAATTATTAATAAGTGCATAGATGACTCAAAGGAACACCGAGCTATATTAGACTAATAATGGTGAGCAAAATCATTTTTTATATGTTGTTTTTGAAGAACTAGTTAATATATTAATAGACTTTTATACAAGCGGTGACTTCATCTGTACTAACATTATAAAACAGTATCTTAGTTCACCAGTTCAAGTTATATGTTAGTAATGTAGATAATAGGTCAGTCAAAATAAAAATGTAGTTAACCCACATTTCTGTAAAATATAAATTATCTAGCATCATAATTTTTGTGAAATTACCATGAGTTTGTATTATTTAAATTAAGTGAGATCCACAAAAAATCAGTGTAGACAAGCAATATTATAACAAATAAAATAAATATAGTAACGAGCATTAATCAAACAAATGTTCATACTGAGTATATGTGTTATCGACCTGGTGGAACAAAATAAAACATATTTTAAGTGAGTGTATGGATAGTGCAAATAATAGGCTCAAATAATATGTTTTAAACTTTATTTATTCGTTTACTTTTCTTTAGCCAGTCTGTTAGCACTTCAAACTCTACAAAATTGGAGATTTTAGTAAACTTAAAAACTGTTTTAGTTTCTAAGATCGAAAAGCAGATATATTACAAAAGATATTAAGTAGTTTTTAAATCACACATTTCAAACCATTCGAACAGTTATTGTCTCAGATATTCCTTTAATAAATATCATAATAAAATGTTGAAAACGTTTTTAATAAAATTACTGGAGATTTCTTAAATAATTATGAAAAAGTTCATAAAAGTGTTGATTACTGTTTTTATAATCTAATTTAATTGTATTTATTGATAACAAATGAATTACTTTTTTTATTTATATGTATTTTTACAAAACTCTGCAAAAACTAAATAATGATTAAATTTAAAATAAATGTCCTAGTATGTTCTATATGCAGTTATATTATTAATATAATATTTATTTATATTTTTTCCATATAGACATATTTGTATATATCATAACACAATTTCACTACTTGTTTGTTATACGCTTATATTGTACTGATATGATCGTTTATTCAGTGGTAGCGCTTAAGTTGTCATTGTAAAAATAGAAGTATTGGCGCTATAAAATGTCAAAAGTAAATTCAAACTTAAGTGGTTTCGGTTTACTGAAATCATAATAAAGTGTTTCAATTTGTGCTGCTTATTACTGCATACCTATATGGACAACATTTATCATATATTTGCTATCGCCAATACATAACAAAACGTGTGTATGGAGTAATCATAATAGAATTTCTGTTTTTCATAGCAGTTGCACTTAAAATGGTCTTAATTAAAACATTTTTTATAACTGCAGTGTTCTTGAAATGTCAGAATAATATAAACTTCATCGTAGTAATTAGAAACTGATAGGTTGGTAATAAAAACTATGTTTAAGGAATTAAAATTACTCATGCGACCTAAATACCAAAAAGCTAGACATTTATTGAACTTTATGCATCGAAACACACACAAAAACGTAGGAAAAATAAAAATGTACCAGCTAACAGCACTTTAAGTGTGAATAAAAATAAAAATAATAAAATAAGAACTTTATTTGAAATAGTTTGACAATAAATTTTCGTACGAAACATCTTTATGAGTATTTTTAAGTTAAAATATCCTCTTCAAATAAACTAAAAAATTATTCTTAGGACATAAAATAGAATTTTATTCAATTTCACCTTTAATGCGAATACTCGACTTAAATGAAATACACTTAAATCGCACGCCTAAAGCGTCATAAAATGGCGGCGCACAACTACCACAGCCAATTTGGCATAACTCAATAGGACTTACAGAAATGCACACATAATTTTCCAACACCGGCAAAGAAGTGAAAATTGCACAAATGCCCGGGGGGAGATTTGAAATTTATGACAACTTTCCTAAAAGCCAAATGCAACCCAAAGTGGAAATCTTGCTGCAATGCGCGAATTTCGTTTAGCTTTTTATTTTATTCTCGCTTTTTTATTTTGCTTTATTGTGGCTCTACCCTGCAATCGTTGCGCTTGGCAGATTTACCACTGCAAATAAATTTACGAAAATGCACGAAATAGCAGTAGCCACGAGTGCAGCAAAATAAAAACAAAACAAGTTAACAGTATAGCCCCAAAAGCAAAAGCAAAGGAAACCAACACAAAAAAAAACAAACAAACAAAAACAAACACACTGGCATAATCTCTTCATATGCACTCTTTATTTTGTTTTTGTAGAGGTTTTTCTTTTGTTGTATTTGTAATATCACCAAAAACGGCATATTTACGAGTTGGCAACGTAAATGGCTAACAAATACTCCAAATACTGTATGAGTATTTAACGTTCAGTGTGACCAACTGAAAATTATTGCGGTCAATGCTCGTGCGTGTTTTGTGGTTTTTTTGCATTTCGCTTGACTGTCGTATTTATTTGCACTTGTTGTTGTTATTTATAAAATTGTTTTTGTTGCTTGAAATTTATTTGTTTGTTTTGGTTAATATTTGTAATTTATAAACAAAAAATCATTGTTGGCGCAAAATTATTTGCAATTTGTGGTTAATAAAAATGGCCGCTTAATTATATTTGAGTTCATTTCTTTAATTAATGAATCTTATTATTGTTTTTAATTTTAAATTGTTAGCTTGAAAGCAGTAAAATATTTTTAATTTGTTTTTTTTAATTTTCAGACATTGAATGGTAATAAATTGTAATATATTATAATTATGCTATTTTAATAATGAACCGTGCCACACTTAAGTAAAATTTAAGATTAAAATTAATCTTTATAACCGCTTTCGCACAGTTTATTTATACGAATTTTTAATCTGCAGAATTCATCAAGTGTAGTGAGCATTAAAAATTAATCCAAAATTAATTTTCAAGAACTACTCTTTCTAATTTTTAAGCGTCTTTAATGGTTAATTGAGATTTTTTCTTAATTTTTTAAATAGATTTCCGGTCCATATGTACTTCGAAGCAATGTCATATTTATTATATATAACATAGTTTAAAAGGTCTTAATGTTCTTTTACATTGGTCAATCTTAATTTGCACGGAATGTATCATTTATGTATGCATTTTGTGGCTCAATCGAACACGTTTAGGGTAATCCCTAAATATTATTATCAAACAACTGTTAAATTCAAGTTAATTTTGTTGAACTGGTAAAATATCTTTA